GGCCATTTTTAAAAAAGTACAATCTTCCACAAATAGAGAAAATGCTACCAATACTTTTGTAACATTCTTAAATGACTATATAAGGTTATCAAACCTGGCAATAAGATTTCAGTGTCTCAATATTACCTCCCATCGTTGGACATCTCTGCTGTAGCGCAAATGCAGGCAAAACACACTCCAAAAGGGTCAAAGCAAGTAGGCACTGCTTGCCACCCTAACCATGCCATTTCTACACATGGAAAATGGGCCTTCTTGGCCTCTGCTGAGCATACCTTCCAGCACTCTCCATATTCTGCTCTTTCTAGTCTTCTTTTACTCATTCTCCTACATGTGATTTATCCTCCATTCAGACAACAACATTGAATAAAAATACATAGTCACAAAACAAAACATTTCACAAACCAACTCTGGCTACATTTTTCGGCAGAAATAATAACAATAACATATGCAGCTACCAATTTTGAGTACTTAAATGACAGACACTGGGCTAAGTACTTTACAGTAACCAACAATAGGATAAGAAGACAGGTCCTAACATTACTCTATTTTAAAAAAAATCAAAAAGCCCCATGAAGTTTATTATAAATGTACCCAAAGTACCAGCTAGAATGTCATGGACTAGAACACCCAGAAGCCTTGCTTTTAATCATTATGTTGTTATGCTCCTATATAGGCTAAGCTTGTCTATTTAATGTGACATTAATGGACTTGTATGATCTGAACCTTATTTTTCAGGTTTAATAGTTTTTCTCCACCCTTATGCAATCTATACAATAGTCATCTAGTGCATCTTACTATATTCCCTGCCTCCAGAGACACATACTCACTTTCATTCTTTTGCATATGTGCTTAAGATATCTTTCTATTTTTCAGTTGGCAAAATAAAAATTCCCTGCTAAATGCCATTTCCTCTAGGAATCCTATGCTGACTTCCTCAGACAGTTAAATCTCTCTCTTCTCAATTTCTATGACACTGAGTACATTCCTCTATTGAACCTTCTCTGAAATAATTGAACTTAATTATCCAGCTGTCTTTTCCACAAGGCACGACACTACTTGAGGCCTGAGATGTACCATTTGTCTGCTCAGCTCAAAGATGAACACAGCACTTGTACCAAGTAGTTATACATTAAATATTGTTAGAACTTTAGCTTCTTGCCATGATGAGGTGCATTAGACCTCTTGCAGTAAATAACCATAAACCTGGATAAATAATATAACTCTTTTCTGATGCTGAACCAAAGGTAGTGGAGAACTGTGCTCCCTGAGAGCTGGGAAACAAACAACATAATCCCCAGGATAACCGTGGCTTTCTGTCTGAAGGCACCGTTCAGACTGTAGGGCAGTGGGGAAAAAAAGCCAAAACACAGCTGCCTCACTGAGCTAAAAAAGATTGTCAGAATTTAAGACTACTGAAGCAACTGGAGTTTCTGGAAACAGGATAAGAGGGAGAAGGAAGCTGAGTAGGGGAGGAGCTCCAGAAATCTGCATAGGGAGCCCCTTGAGTCTTTGGCTGAATATTAACCTGTGTATATGCATAGAGAAATTGCATAAAGCTATGCTAAAACATTTACCAGAGGGGGAAAAATTACTGGGGAGCTGTGAGCTAAACAAACACCAGAGTTTGCACAGGCCTAGAAGATGATTGCATTCTGATCTCCCAGAATGGAGGCATTTTGCTAAACATCCCAGATATGCAATAAAGCTTATAGAAAAGCAATACTTTAGGAATAGAATTCGCTGAACCCTAACGTAGACATAATTCTAGCCTTCAACAGTTTATGAATAAATCTCAAAAGGAACAGGTTAATCCTGAGCAAATTCAATGCCGAATGAAACAAAACACAAAATTCTATTATGAAAGAAGACAAAATTCTCCAAAAATGTAATTTCTACAATATCAACTGTAAAATCAAGTTTATTAGATATGTATGTGAACATAAATATGTTATCTATAACCAAAGAAAAATCAGAAAAATAGAAACAAAGAAATGAGAAAGATGATAAAATTAGCAAACAATAATTTGAAAACAACTGTTATATTCAAGAATTAAAAAGATAACATAAGCGTGGTGAGTGAACAAATAGGGAATCTTAATAAAGGGAAATGTAGCAGAATAAAGTGGAAATTCTAGAATTGAAAGATATAATATTTAAAAGGAAAGAGTTATGAGATGAGTGTCACAGTAGATTAGACAATGCACAAGAAAGGTTAATGAACTAAAATAGAAGTATAGAAATTGTATACATGGGGGCATGAAACAAAAAATAAAATGCTGGGGGAAAAGAACAGCATCTCTGTAAGCTCTGGGACAATATAAAGGAGTCTAGTATATGTGTAATTGGAATACCAGGAGGAGACAAAAGAGAAATTGGGTAGGGAAAAATATTTACAGAAATAATGGTTGAAATCTTTTAAATGACATGAACAAAATAAATCCATGGCTATAGGAAAGTCAGCATACTTCAAGCAAGATAGGCACAAAGAAAAGCAGACCATAGTATATTATAATCAAATTGATGTAAACCAATAATAGTTAAAATTAATAATAAAGAAAAAATCTTAAAAGCAGGCAGAGGGCAGAAGAAAAGATATATCAAAAACAAACACGAGAACAACCGTAAGAATGATCACTGATATATTATCAGAAACTACTTAAATCAGAGAAAATTGGAACATCTGATGTGGTGGCAAGAAAGGCAAGAAAACCTATCAACTTAGAAATCATATCCAAAGAAAATGTTTTTAAAATGAAGGCAAAATAAAATATCTTCAGATAGATGAAAGCTGAGAGACTTTGTCACTAGCATATCTTCCTTTGGGCTGAAACTTTCTTGAATGTTCTACCCTAAAGGAAGATGATACTCAATGGAAACTGAGATCTACATAGAAGAACAGAGAGCTAGAAATGGGGTCAGGAGCAGTGGCTCATGCCTGTAATCCTAGCACTTTGGGAGGCCGAGGTGAGATCACTTGAGGTCAGGAATTCGAGACCAGTCTGGCCAATATGGTGAAACCCTGTCTCTACTAAAAATACAAAAAATAGCTGGGCATGGTGGCACATGCCTGTAATCCCAGCTACTTGGGAGGCTGATGCAGGAGGATTGCTAGTATCCGGGAGGTGGAGGCTGCAGTGAGCCAAGATCTCACCACTGCACTCCAGACTGGGCGAATCATACCAAAAAAAAAGAAAAGAAAAAAGAGAGAGAGAGAGGACCAGAAATGGTAAATACATGTGTGTATTTAAATTTTTTCTCAACTTAAAGTTTTTAAAAGACAACTGACTGTTTAAAAAGAAAAAACAATGTATTATAGGGTTCATTGCACATGGCAAGTAAAATGCATAATAACAATAGCACAAAAGGTAGGGCTGAAATGGAGATAGAGTGTTAAAGAGTATTTACTTTATATGTGAAGTGGTATATATTATTTGAAGGTTGACAGTGATAAGCTAAAGATGTGTATCATGAGCCCTAAAATAACCTCTCAGAAATAAAGCAGAGGGATGGCTAATAAACCAAAAAGAAAGATAAAATAAAATAATAGAAAGTATTTGGTTGATTCAAAAACAGGCAGAAAAGTAGGGAGAAAACTGTGAAGAACAGTGCCAAAAATTAGAAAGTGAATATCAAATTGGTACAGTAATGTTTCACATAATAATTACTTTAAATAAATAGACCAAAAAATCCAGTCAAAAAAAGATTTTAAGATTTGATTAAAAAGGAAACACCAGCCATGCCAGGTGTGACTCATACCTGGCATCACAGTACTTTGGGAGGCTGAAGCAGAAGGATCACATGAGGCCAGTAGTTTGAGACCAGCCTGAGAAAGAACACAAGAGCCTGACTCTACAAAAAAAGGAAATTGCTAACTATAGGCTGTTTACAAAAGACACATATTAAATGTAAAAGACATATGTTAAATATAAGTTAAAGTGAAAAGATAGAAAAAGACAAACAAGGAAATATTAAACATAAGAAAACTGGAGAGGTTCTGTTAATATAAAACAAAGTAGGTACAGAACAAGGAGTATCACCAGAGGTAAGGAGGAAAATTCCACAACGATTAATAAGTACCAGTTCATCAAGAAAACATAATGATAGTAAGTGTGTATGCACCTAGATACAGAAATTCAAAATACATAAAACAAAAAGTAAGAGAATCGAAAGAAAAAAATCTACAATTACAGTTGGAAATTTCAAAACTCCTCTCTCAGGAATGAACAGAACAAGAAGGCAAAATCTAATAAGGAGATAGTCTTGAGCAACACTATCAATCAACTTGTCCAATGGATATTTATAGAAGACTTTATCCACCAGCTGCAGTATACAGGTTTCTTTCAAGTGTGCATGAAACTTTTATCAAGAGAATCCATATGGTAAGTCGAAATCTGAGTGTTCATAAATTTTTAAACATATATAGAATATAAATATCTATTATATATACATAACATACAGTAGAAATGTAACTAAAATATCTTTATAGAATATAGACAATATATGAATCTATTTTATGTATACAATAGATTATATATATCATAGATTCAGGGCTAATGTGCAGATTTCTTACATGGGCATATTGCATAATGCTGGGGTTTGGGCTTCTAGTGAACCTATCACTAAAACAGTGAACACAGTATCCAGTAAGTGGTGTTTCCAGCTCTTGCTCCCTCATTCTCTCTCCCTTTTTGGAGTCTCCAGTTTCTGTTGCTTCTATCTTTATTTTTTTGAGAACCCATTCTTTAGTTCTGACTTATAAGTGAGAATATGCAGCATTTGATTTTCTGTTTATGCATTAATTCACTTAGGATTATTGTATCCAGCTCCATTCATGTTGCTGCAAAGGATGTGATTTTGTTTATGGGTATGTAGTATTCCATGGTGTGCATGTATCACATTTTCTTTATCCAGTACACCATTGATGGACACATAGGTTGATTCCTTGTTATTGTGAATAGTGCTGTGATAAATATATGAGTGTAAGTGCCTTTTTTTTTCTTCTTCAGGTCATAATGTGCTGATGTCTTAATAAGGTTCAGTGGATGGCACATCTCATACCTGTGCATGAACACCCAATCATCACGTTCATGAACTACAAAAGGATCTGCAGGTGTCTTTTTGATAGAACAATTTATTTTCCTTTAGATAGATACTCAATAATGGGAATGCTGGGTTGTATAGTAGATTGCTCTATTTTTAGTTCTTTGAGAAATCTTCATATTGTTTTCCATAGGGGTTGAACTAATTTACATTCCCACCAATAATGTATAAGTGTTCCTTTTTCTCTGTATCCTCACCAACATCTGTTATTTTTAAATTTTTATTAATAGTCATTCTAAATGGTGTGAGACGGTATCTCCTTGTGGTATTAATTTGCATTTCTCAGCTGGGCACTGTGGCTCACTCCTGTAATCCCAGCACTCTGGGAAGCCAAGGTGGGCAGATCACCTAGGGTCAGGAGCTTGAGACGAGCCTGACCAACATGGTGAAACCCCTTCTCTACTAAAAATACAAAAAATTAGCTGGGTGTGGTGTTGCATGCCTGTAATCCCAGCTACTCAGGAGGATGAGGCAGCAGAATCACTTGAACCTGGGAGGTGGAGGCTGCAGTGAGCTGAGATCATGCCATTGCACTCCAGCCTGGGCAACAAGAGCGAAACTCTGTCTCAAAAATAAATAAATACATAAATACATAAAAATTTGCATTTCTCTGATGATTAGTGATATTGAACATTTTTTTCAAAATTTGTTGGGTGCTTGTATGCTTTTTTTTCGAGAAGTGTCTGCTTATGTCATTTGTCCACTTGTAAAGTTTGTTTCTTGTTGACTTCCCAAAATTTCTTATAGATTGTGGATATTAGACCTTTGTTGGATACATAGTTTGCAAATCTTTTCTCCTATATTGTAGGTTGCCTGTTTACTCTGTTAGCTGTTTCTTTTGCTGGGCAGAAGCTCTTTAGTTTAATTAAGTCTATTTGTCCATTTCTGTTTTTGTTGCATTTGCTTTTGAGATCTTAGCCACGAATTCTTTGCCTAGGCCAATGTTCAGAAGAGTATTTCCTAGATTTTCTTCTAGCATTTTTATAGGTTGAGGTCTTACATTTAAGTCTTTAATCCATCTTGAGTTGATTTTTGTATATGATGAGAAGTAGGGGTACTGTTTAATTCTTCTGAATATGGCTAGCCAGTTTACCCAGAACCATTTTTGAGTAGGGTGTTGATATAGTTTGATATTTGTCCTTGCCAAAATCTCATGTTGAAATGTAATCCCAGCCAGTGGTGGCTTATGCCTGTAGTCCCAGCACTTTCGGAGACCAAGGCAGGTGGATCATCTGAAGTCAGGAGTTCAAGACTAGGTAGGGAAACATAGTGAAACCCCATCTCTACTAAAAACACAAAAAATTAGCCAGGCATGGTGGTATGTGCCTGTAGTCCCAGCTACTCAGGAAGCTAAGGAAGGAGAATCACTTGAACCCGGGAGGCAGAGGTTGCAGTGAGTCAAGATCCTGCCATTGGACCCCAGTCTGGATGAAAGAGCAAGACTATCTCAAAACAAACAAAAGAAAGAAACGTAATCCACAGTGTTGGAACTGGGGCCTGGTGAGAGGTGTTTGGATCATGGGGACAGATCTCTCATAGCTTGCTGCTGTCCTCACTGTAGTGAGTTCCCAAAAGATCTGGTTGTTTAAAGAGTGTGGTACCTCTCCTCGTCTATCTTGCTCCTACTCCTACCATATGAGATGCCTGCTCCCCCTTCACCTTCTGCCATAATTGTAAGCTTCCTGAGGCCACTCTAGAAGATGAGCAGATGCTGACACCATGCTTCCTGCACAGCTTGCAGAGCTATAAGCCAATTAAACCTTGTTTTCTTATAGATTACCGAGACTCAGGTATTTGCTTGTGACAATGCAAGAATAGACTAAGACAGATGTCCTGTCTCCATTGTTTATTTTTGCCAACTTTATTGCAGATCAGTTGATTGTAGGTGTGTGGCTTTATTTCTGAGTTCTCTATTCTGTTCCATTGATCTATGAGTGTATTTTTGTATCAGTACCATGCTGTTTGAATTACTCTAGCCTTCTAATATAGTTTGAATTCTGGTAATATTATGCTTCTGGCTTTGTTCTTTTTGTTTAGGATTGCTTTGGCTATTTGGGCTCTTGGTTCCATACAAATTTTGGACTAGTTTTTCCTAGTTCTATGAAAAATGACATTGGCAGTTTGATAGAAATTGCTTTAAATCTGTAATTTGCTTTGGGAAGTATGGTCATTTAATGACGTTGATTATTCCACTCCATAAGCATGGAATGTTTTTCCATTTATTTATATTGTTACAGATTTTTTTTTTTTTAGCAATGTTTTGTAGTTCTTCTTGTAGAGATCTTTTACCTCCTTGGTTAAATGTATTCCTAGGTTGTGTGTGTGTGTGTGTGTGTGTGTGTGTGTGTGTGTGTGTGTGTTTGTNTGTGTGTGTGTGTGTGTGTGTGTGTGTGTTTGTGTGTGTGTGTGTATGTGTCTATTGTAAATGGGATTGATGTCTTGTTTCTTAGTTGAAATGTTATTGGTGTACAGAAATGCTACTTATTTTTATAGATTGATTTTGTATCTTAAAACTTCACTGAATTAATTTATCAGGTCTAGGATTCTTTTGGAGGAATTAGGGCTTTCTAGGTATAGGATCATGTTATCAGCAAACAGAGAAGATTTGTCTTCCTCTTTTCATATTTGGGTGTCTTTTATTTTTTTCTTTTGTCTAATTGCTCTGGCTAGGACTTCTAGTACTATGTTGAATCAGAGTGGTAAGAGTGGATACTCTTATCTTGTTCTAATTCTTAGGGAGAATGCTTTTAACTTTTGCCTGTTCAGTATGTTGTTGGCTGTGGGTCTGTCCTATCTGCCCCTACTATTTTGAGGTACGTTTCTTAAATGCCTAGTTTGTTGGTGTTTTTAAAATAAAGGGATATTGGATTTTATGGAACGCTTTTTTTCTATGCCCATTGAGATCATATGGTTTTTATTTTAATTCTATTTATGTGGTGAATCACATTTATTGATTTGCATATGTTGAACCATTCTTGCATCCCAGGAATAAAAACTACTTGATTGTGATAAATTATCTTTTTGATGTGCTGCTGGATTCAGTTTGCTAGTATTTTTTTGAGCATTTTTGTGTCTATGTTCATCAGAAATATTGGTCTGTAGTTTTCTTTTTTTGCTGTGTCTTTGCCAGATTTTGATAACAGGATAGTATTGGTTTAATAGAATGAGTTAGGGAGGAATCTCTCCTCTTCAATTTTTTGGAGTAGTTTCAGTAAGATTGGGACCAGCTGTTCTTTGAATGCCTGGTGGAATTTGGTGGTGTATCTATTTTGTCCAGAGCTTTTTGTTGTTGTTGTTTGGTAGATTTTTATTGTTGATTTACTTTCATAACATGTTATTGGTCTGTTCAGGATTTCAATTTATTGGTGGCTCAATCTTGGGAGGTTGTGTTTCCAGGGATTTATTTCTATTTCCTCTAGGTTTTCTAGTTTATGTGCATAAAGATGTTAATAGTAGCCTTTGAGGGTTTTTGTATTTCTGTATTATCAGTTGTAATGCTACCTTTGTCATTTCTGATTGTGCTTATTTGAATCTTCTCTCTTTCTTCCTTCGTTAATCTAGCTGGAAGTTTATCCTTTCAAGGAACCAATTCAAAGGTTTTTGATCATTTGTATGGTTTTTTTTTCATTGATCCTGTGTATGGATTTTTTTTGGTCTCAAATTCATTTAGTTCAGCTCTAATCTTTGTTGTTTCTTTTCTTCTGCTAGCTTTGAATTAGGTTCGTTTTTTCTATTTCCTTTAGGTGAAACATTAGGTTGTTAATTTGAGATTATTCTATCTTTTTAATGTAGAAATTTAGTGTTATAAACTTTTCTCTTACACTGCTTTTGCTGCATCCCATGGTTTTGGTATGTTGTGCCTATTTTTGTTTCAATTTTTTTTTAAATTTCTGTTTTAATTTTATTATTTATTCAAAAGTCATTTAGGAGCAAATTGTTTAGTTTCCATGTACTTGTGTCATTTTGAGAGTTTCTATTGGCACTGATTTCTAATTTTATTTCATCGTGGTCCAAGAAAATGCTTGATATGATTTTCATTTGTATGAATTTATTGAGACTTGTCTTATGACCAAGAATGTGGTTAATTTTAGAAAATGTTCCATATGCAGATGAGAAAAATGTATTTTCTATGCTTGTTAGGTGAAATATTCTGTGTATGTTTATTAAGACTATTTGATCAACAGTCTGATTATAGTCCAGAGTTTCTTTGTTAATTTTCTGCTTTGATGATCTGGCTAGTGCTTTTAGTGGAGTGTTGAAGTTTCCTACTATTATTGTATAGCTGTCTATCTTTTTTTTGGTAGATCTAGTAGCTTTTTTTTCTTCTTCTTTAAGTTCTAGGATACATGTGCAGAATGTGTAGGTTTGTTGCATATGCAAATGTGTGCCATAGTGGTTTGCTTCACCTATCAACCTAGGTATTAAACCTATTAAGCCTTGTATCCATTAACTATTTGTCCTGATGCTCTTCCTCCCTTTGCCCAGCCAACAGGCCCTGGTGTGGGCTGTTTCTCTCTCTGGGGCCATGTATCATTGTACAGCTCCCACTTACTGATGAGAACATGCGGTGTTTGGCTTTCTGTTCCTGTGTTAGTTTGCTGAGGATGATGGCTTCCAGTTTCATCCATGTCCCTGCAAAGAACACGATCTCATTCCCTTTTATGGCTGCATAGTATTCCATAGTGTATATGTACCACATTTTCTTTATCCAGTCTATGATTGATGGGCATTTGGGTAGGTTCCATGTCTTTGTTCTTGTGAATAGTGCTGTAATAAACATATGTATGCATGGATCTTTACAATGGAATGATTTATATTTCTTTGGGTACCTACCTGTTAATGGAATTGCTGGCTCAAATGGTATTTCTGGTTCTAGGTCCTTGGGAAAGACACGTTCCCTTCCACAGTGGTTCACCTAATTTACATTCCCACCAACAGTGTAAAAACATTCCTATTTCTCCATAGCCTCACCACCATCTCTTGTTTCTTTACTTTTTAATAATC